ATCATCACCCAGATAAGCAGAGATTACCACCAGGCATACAATCAAGCAGTAAACAATACCAGAGGAACTACCAGAGGAAAAAATAAAACAAAACAAAACCACACCCCCACCAACACTGGCAGGGCATGCCACAGTATGTAAACAGAGAGCAAAGCCCATTCTATTCTAGCACTGAAGATGTTACCTAGCCGAGTAACAAAATGTTTGCAGGAAAAGAACCAAGCTCACAAATCACCAAGGACTCCACAGTTCAACCCTGAGCTACACATATTCACTTCTACTGGTTCCCAACTTTTTGTTAGCAGCAGTCCCACTCCTTTCTTTTTCTTAATACTTTTTGATGCTTTTAGCTTCCCTTACAAGTCTACATTCCTTTTGTACTTTAGACTTTATAGCCTCCTTGATGTTAGCTACTTGCTGGTAGCTGATTCCTGGTGATTACACCCACTTTTATTTTCTATACACGTCCCTTTTAACTCTTAACTCAGTCAAAAGCTCCCTATGTACCCACAATGGTTTTCTAAGCTATTCCATTTTTTTCCTCATTTGAATGATATGCAGTTGGACTTCCAGTATCTTATTTTTGAGAAGTTCCCAACCCTTCTATTCTCTCTTTGACTGAGGATTCCTGTCCATAGGATCCTGCATAGTACTTTTTTCTTGAAATTGGCTCTCCTGAAATTCAGTATAAAATAAACTACTATGGTCCAGTTTCTCTCTCTGTAGCATTTTGAACCCCAAGATGAAGTGGTAGCTGTAAGGTTTATCCCGTTTGTCTCAGAGAAACTCTCATGACACATGTGTTCAACAAAGAAGTTTACTCAAGCATAACATAAGTAAGTACAGACAAAGCCAGGGTTGGTTTGGCATAGCTTACATGGTATTTTATAACTTCCCTGTTCCTGCGCTTTACCCGTTGCTTAGTTACAGATTACCCGCAGTAATCCCACCTCACCCAAATGGCAGATTCAATCCGGTGCTTTTGTCTTTCTGATTGACATCTATGGGTTGTGCTGTTGTTGCCTTTACTGGGTTTGCCTGTTTGCCTGCAAAGCCGGGAGTTCTCAATCGCTTGTTGATTGCTTCGCTTCCGAGCCTCTGCGTTTTCCTTTGTTTGCAGCGCTCGCTCGAGGGAAGCCGCGCTGATACAAAGTATCCGCTTGCGGTTTGAGCCACCTGTCAGCAATCAGTTCGCAGTGAAATTGACTAGGCGAAGCTGAGCAGCCCGTTCGCCCTGCCGTTCCATTCCGGCTGAATCTGACAGTAGCTTCCTCAAAAAGTTTCCATTGCTTTTTCCTCTTCATCTAGGTCTTCCCTACTGGTTAGGTTCTAGGAGAGCTGGTTCTGTTGTCTCTTCTTCAACCTTCTGGAAAATGAGTCAGCAAGACCACTGAGGAATTTGAGGACATTCCAATCTTGGCTGAATTGTTTTTTTCAACTGATACCTGGGTAAAGTATCCCATTATTATTGTATTTTACCTCCCTGAAAATTTTATAATTGGGTCCAGGGGAGCATTATCCAGAACTTCTGCATGACTTGGTAGTCTACAGCATCCCCCCACAATGATATAATTGATGTTTTCATTCCTTGTGTTCTGATTCAAATGTGCTAAGATTGGATCCTCATGCTCACAAAATTCATGGATCTCTACAAGTGTGTACTTCCTTCACAATAATGGCATTCTCCTTACTTAGATGAATACCTCAAACTAATGGTAAGTTATGGCATTTAATCTCAGCATTCCACTAATTAATTTTGCCTTAGTAAGTTTTAGTAATGTCTACTAAATCCTATTTGCTAAGATTTCTAATTCTTCCTGTTTGTTCACCATACTCTATTCATTTTTATAGTGAGACAGGAAACCTTG